GAGAGCTTCGGATTCCTGTGGAACTGGAGTTAAGGACAGTTTGTAGCCACCATGTGGGTGCTGGGACTCCAACCCGGGTCCTCTGCAAGAGTGGTCAGTGCTCTTAACCGCTGAGCCATGTCTCCAGCCCCAAATAAAATGTTTTTTAAAGGGACGTTTTCCAGACTGGCTGAGCCATAAGCAGGGCCTTGGCTTGACTTCCGCACATAAGGGGCTTGGTTCACCCCACCACCACCTTCTCCTGCCACTGTCAGAGAGGCCCAGCCAGGAGTGGCTAGGACTTGGGCTGAGAACCTTGCTCACTGTCTCTCTCCACTATTGGCCCACATGGGTATGACAGTTCCAGTGCCTGGGGCTTCTCACTCCCAAGGGCAGCTCCAAAATGAACAGAAGCCATGGGCAAGGTGGGTGACTGCCAGGGAAGAGGCCTGCCCTGCCTGGCAAGGGGCCTCCTTGTGCCTCAGCACTGCCACTCACAGAGATACCAAGGGCTCTGCTCAGCTTTGGCGCATCCATAAACGATATCTCTACAGTCCACAAGGCTCACCCTCCCCAGCCAGGCTTCATGTGAAAACAGCTCAAAGTGCCCACCTTCACACACTCCTTTCCTGAGGCCCTTTCTAATCCCCTGCCATCCAGAAGGTCCGGGGGCGCCATGACAGATAGGAGTCGTGCCCAAGGTGGGGTCTGCATCCTGCATCCCTGAGACCATTAACCCTGCAGCCTGGCCCTTCCAAGGCTAAAGGCAGTCACCTCCATGGACCTTTGTCTAGTGCAGGGAGGCATGGCTCCTTCTAGCAGGAGCAGCTGAGCCAGTGCCACCTCCCCTTGCTTCCTCTCAAGGGATACAGGATGCCCGCAGGTGTGAGGTCCCACTCGAGCTCACCTGCCTCTCGTTGTGCTTGCCATGGATCTCCACGAAGTCCTCCAGCACCTTCACGGTGAGGTCCTCAGGAGAGAAGTGCTTCACATCCAGGAAGATGACAAATTTGTCCCGGTCGGATCGGACCTGAAACCCAAACCCTCATGTGGAGCTCCCAGAGGGCTAACAGCTCCAGGAACGGGGGTGGGAGGGGCAACAGCATGGTCCCTGCTGGGTGGATCAGACTAGCCAGGGAAGTGTCCAGTCAACAGAATAGACGCTCAGTCACCCCTGTGCACCAACCGCCTCCTCTCCACAGGCCAAGTGGGCCTGCAAGTTCTGGGGCTAGTTCTGGACACCTGACCCCACAGGTACCACCTGCACTGACCTCCGGACTCAGGGATTAGGCTGATTCACTGTTGGATGGTATTGGGTTAGCCAGCTGATTATGAGGTGGCTGGTTAGGTGTAGATTAGATGAATGGTTATCAGTTGGATGGCTGGTTGTGAGTTTCTTGGCTGATTCTAGGCCAGGTTGTTGGTTATGAGGTATCTGGCCAATTGGTTACAGCTTGGGTGGCTAGGTACAGGTTGACCAGTTGTTTCACTATGGTCAGGTGACTGATAATGGGTTGGGTGGCTCTTTAGAGGTTAGATAGCTGGTGGGTCGGTTGTGAGCTGGTGGGCTCGTTAGGGATTATGTGCCTGGCTGGTTAGGAACTGGCTGACTGGTGGGACTAAGGATACATCCACATCCCCAAAAACCCACCTCACCCGTTGGCACCATGCTGCCGAGAGCTTTGCAGCACCGCTGGCTGCCAGCGCAAAACCATCCACACCCTCTCTCCCCTTGCCCTGGCTCAGAGCCTGCATTTGGGCAATTTTCTCCCTGGAGTTGGTGGATCAGCTCGGAGAGCCTCCTGCTTTTGAGGCAGAGGGTGACTTAGCTCCTGCAGAATTGTGGGTAGCTTAAAGGAGGAGGCACGTGACCCCAAGGCCTTTCCTTGGCCTCAGCTGAGCCAGTAGCAAAGCTGAGAGGAGCCCCTTCTGCAGCTGGCAAAGCTCTGCGGTGAGGAAGTGCCCTCTGTGCCTCGGGGCAGCGCCGCCTCCTCTGTGGGCCTCAGGGCAGCGCATCACCGCACCCGCACCCGGCAGAAAAGCACAGGGAGCAGCGGGTCCAGGACGCTCGCCTTTGCCACGAAACTTGCCTTGATGGGGTTGTTCTCGGGGGTTTCCAGCATGTGGTTGGTGCGGTACAAACCACCTATGGGTCATGAGCTGATGGGAGGAAAAGACAGCAGTCGGGCCTTCTCTTCAAACCCCATTCCCAGTCGGCTGGGCGGGCGGACTTCCACCCAGCCGCAGCAGGGTCCAGGGTCCGAGGCTGGGAGAGGCAGGGACGAGGCAGGTGGCCCCTCAGGAATCCCTAGCTGACCTCTGCCAAGGCCCTGAGCCCCTCTGACCAGCCGCATCTTACCTCAGAGATGCAGGAGTCCAGCACTGTGCGGAGGAGGGTCTGGCGGTAATAGGGGCTGATGGTGGAGGACAGGAAGGGCAGCAGATCGTACTCAAAGAGGCCCTGGCCGAAAAACTGGTCGAACAGCCGTCTGGGATAGAAGGGACCCAGGGCGTGCTTGAACCAGGGGTGCTGGATGGTGACGTCCATGTTCCACGTGGCAACGCAGGGACTGAAGGCTGGTGGTGAGTCGGGCAGGGGCCGCTGGACAGTGCAGTGGGGAGCTCGTGTGCTGGCCCTCCCTATATACGCCGGCACAGAATGGAGGCATTAAGGGATTTCAGGAAATGCCTATGCTCAGCTCTGGAGGGAGGCTGCACGGTCAGCAGCAGGGATCTTACCCTCCACCCCAGCCCCAGGGACACACACTGAGCAGCAGGGGCCAGTACTCCTTCCAGATGTCCCCCAAAGAAGTGGAGGGCTGTGGAGAGTCTCATCCTCCCCACCAGGGATGATGCTGGTTTTTGTGCTTTGTCCTGAGGGTTCCTCATGGCTGCCTGCCCTTAGAGTTCAGTGCCCTGTTCCACAGATGTGCTTTGCAAGCTGTCCCCAGACCTCACAGTTCCCAATCAGAGTCCTGTGTGTCTCCAAGCAGAATGTCTTCCGTTTCTTGTGATGGATGACAAAGATCACACAACCCACAAAAGTCTCAGAAAACAGAGAGAAAACTGAAGGTGCTGGAGCTCCTGCCCAAGGCCTGCTCCAGTCCCTGCTCTCCCCCAGGGGTCTGTGTTCCACCGGTCTACCTCACTGAGATTCTGGGCATTCCTCTGGGCAGCTCCCCCTGTGCCCTCAGCTCTGTGACCATAGTCCTCTGCAAAGCCTTGAGCCCCCACAGCACGACCTTGCCACAGGTGTGAAGCCAGCTGCTCTGGCCAGGCCCAGGGCTCACCCACATCCCCCACACGTCTTCCAGGGTCTCTTATGCTCCCCGACCTGGGGCCCTCATCCAGTTACCGCCAGTTGTCAGGCATCTCTGAACACCAGTTTTGTGTGTGGCACTGGCCGATAATAAAAGGCCCTGGAAAACCTCGAAGGGCCACTTTTGTTCTGGAGGTGTGAAATCCCCAATGGAGTTATTTCCTGGGCTTCCAGAAACAAGTGCCGATTAGTGTGTATGTAATAAATGCTGCAGAAAGAAATGGGCATGTCCCAGGTCACACACACACACACACACACACACACACACACACACACACACAAAACACTTGCTAGGTGTGCGGACCTCACCAGGAGCAGGCCCCAGCATCACTCAGCTTTATAGACCAGGAAAGGGGCCTAGGAAGGCTGACCTGCATCACCAGGTCACTCCACTTGCAAAAAAGGAAGGCATCTGATACAGAGGGTTCCGCCTCCCTGTTGAGCTGGGGCCAACGCCTGAGCAGTGTCAGGAGGTGAGAAGGAGTATCCCACAATCTTGGGTGTTTGACTCGGTGAGCTAAGAGGGGGCTGCCCCAGTGGAAGAGTGCTGGCTCTCTACCCCATGGAGACGGTCAGTCAGATGGTCAGGGCTATGTGGAGTCATCCCAGAAACTGAGGCGTAGACAGTAGTGACAATCATGTCTTCATTTAAAGCCTGGTATTTAGGGCCAGTGAGATGACTCAGTGTGTAAATGCACTTGCAGCACAAGCCTGACCATCTGAGTTCAATCCCTAGAACACATGTAAAGGTAGGAAGGGAGAACTGACTCCACAAAGTTATCTTCCACATGCCCACTGTGGCATATGCATACACACACACACACACACACACACACACACACACACGCACGCACACACACACACACAAATAATAATAATAAGTTAAAGTCTAGCATTTGGGGCTAGCCTGGCAGCTACTCCACAGGCTGAGGCAGGAGACTCTCAAGTTCAAGCCTATTGGGGCTAGAGTGAGTTCAAGGCCAACCTGAGCAGCTTATTGAAAAAAGGGGGGCGGGGGGGACTACAGATGTGGCTCAGTTGATAGAGTGTTTATGTAACATACACAAGGCCTGGGGTTCCATTTCCAACAGGATTCTCCTGCCTCAGCCTCCCTGGGTACTTTATTCATTCATACAGGCAATATGGTAGAATTACTCCACCAGGGCTGGACAGATGGCTCAGAGGATAAGAGCACAGGCTGCTCTTGCAGAGGACCGGGGTTTGATTCCCAGCACCCACATGGTGGCTAATAATATCTGTAACTCCAGTTCCAGGGCAATCCAATGCTCTGTTCTGGCCTCTTCAGGCATTGCAGAACACAGGTGCACTTACATACATACAGGCAACAAACTCATACACATAAAATAAAAATAATAATTAAATATTTAAAAAAAACAAATTGCATCACCACACCCAGCAGCACACACTTTTAGCTCTTAGAAGAACCTGTCCCTGCAGGCTTTAATACCAACTTCCTGGGCAAGACTTCCCTACTGGCGCAAAAGCGGCATGACTGTTATGGGGGTGAGAAACCACTTTCTGCTTGGATTTAAGGCCTGCTCCACAAGAGAGAATTCATGCTGGGCACTGTAAACCTGGCCCAAAGCCTGTAGCTGGGAAGGCCAGGGGCCCTCGCTGGGAATGTAAGTCCCGCTGTAGTGGAGCAGATCAAACACCGGCACATAACTACATGCTACGGCAGGTGGTAAACATCACGGAAGATGTGTCCCATCCCCCGTCCCATCGTGTGCACCCCCAGCACTGAGATGGGAAGAGGAAGTCTCTTCCAGCAGGTAGATGGGCATCTTGTCCCGCCTCCAGCCTGGGCCTCAGCAGTGCTCTGAATCCACTGATCTGGGAAAACAAGCCCCAAAGTCATGGAACCACTTGACTTGGACTGGAGCCTCCAACATCGTGAACCAAAATGAATCTTTCTTTTTCATTTTGTTGGTGATGGAAAGCTGCACTGTGCACTGGCAGTTGGCAGAAGGCACTGGTGGCTCTAAGTACCAGCGCTAAGGATGCTGTGTCTGGGGATACTTTTTTAAATTATGTATAGGGGCAGGGGAGATGCAGGGGTATATGCACATGAGTATGGGTGCCCTCAGAGACCAGAAGGAGCCATTGGATTCCCTGGAGTTGGAGGTTGTAAGCTGCCCCATGTGGGTGCTGGGAACCAGACTCAAATCCTCTGCTAGAGCAGTAAGCATTCTTAACCTCAGGGTATTTTCATTATTCCTGTGAGCTACCAGTCTGAATGTGTGAACCCCAAATGCTCCTCTCTTTGATTAGTGTATGTTCTAACAACCCCTGCTTAAATAAGTCAACTCTGTTGTTCGAGGTGCCGATATCTATAAAGCTATGAACACACTGCAAAGCTACATCAGGGGCTGGAGAAATGGCTCAGTGGTTAAGAGCACTGGCTGCTCTTGCTGAGGACCCAGGTTTGGTTCCTAGCACCTACATGGCATCTAACGACCATCTGTAACTCCAGTTCTAGGGAATCAAACACCCTTTTCTGGCCTCCAAGGGCATTGCATGCACATGGTAGGCTTACATGCATGCAGGCAAAACACTCATACACGTAAATTACAAATAAATTTTAAGTTTAAAAAAAGAAAAAGCTAAATATTTGGTCCTGGGGAAAATCTGAGGTGAGGGTCCTGTGAGCCACCAATCACCAGTTTTTCATGGACCCATCGGTGCCTGACCAGGGATGATGTGCTTCTGTCTGGAGAGTATCTGCTTTGTGTGGATTCGTAAATGCCGACCTAGCTGCAATGTCTCTGTCATGTGTCTCTAGAACATTTGTTGTCTCCATAATATACATCACAGCCCTCTGTGCACAGGATGGATTTCATCAGCACCACACTTGGGGACATTTTAAACTGATAAAACACAAATTTCACACTTAGAAAAAAGAGGCATTATATAAACCTCAGAGAGAGAGATCTTTGTCCATACCGTGAGAGCTGAGAAGCTACAGCCTGGCCTGTTCAACCTCTGCTGGGACAAAATGTCTCCGTCACTCTGAGTGCATCATAGAAGATGACAAAACTCCATATGAGAGGATTCTGGAGCCACAGAAGAATTTGAGCACCTGAAATCCGTAAGCTGAAGTCGTAACTCCCAGAACCACAGAAGGTCTATTTGGGGCAGGGCCTCTAAAGGGCTAATTAAGGATGAGTTCACACAGGTAGGCCCTAATCCAACCTGTGTTCTCGTAGGATGAAGAAATTTGGGCACACAGAGAGACACAAGCGGGGACTGTGTGCACAGAGGAAAGACCACACAAGATACTCCACAGGTCAGAGAGGTGCCTTGGGAGCCACAGGCTCTGCCGGTGTCTTCAGCTCAGACTTCGGTCAAGAAATGACTTTTCTATTCAGTCAGCACCGCAGTCATCTCCTCTTACCCCAGGTTTCGCTTTCTGCAACAAATCGTGTTTAAAAACATTACATCAAAAATTTCAGAAACAAGCAATTCATGTGTTTTAAGACTTTACATGCTGTTCTGAACAGCGTGAGCCTCCTGAGCTGTGTCCCTCTGTCCAGTGTCTCCATCTACTCTGCGTGCTGCCAGCCTCCGGTCACTGAGATCAACCGTGGTCAGCCCCACTGCTGTGGCGTCTCGTGCCCATGTCCCCATGACCGTTTTACCTAATAACGTCTCCAAAACAAGTGGAACGATGCTGGCGACTCAGATAAGCCAAAGAGAAACAGAGAAATACTTCCTCTGTGTGAGGCAGGGAAAGCTCCCAACTTAAGAAAAACGTACCCTACTAGGATTGCCAAGATCTGCCTGTAAAACTGTGACGAAAGTGCAGGAAATTCATCCTGTCACTCCTCACACTGCAGAGAGTGCTGATTGCTAAGTGAGGATACAGTGAGTGCTGAGTGCTAAATGAGGATGGAAATGGCACTAATTACAGGGCTTGCTGCATGCTCCAGAGGCCTTGGAACTATGTACATCCTGCCCATTGGAGGAATGGAGGGTCTCTGACCTTATGCAGCCCTGCAGACTCGCTGTATATAGAGCTCATGAACTGCACCGCATGAGCAGTGGCTACAATGCTTGCTTGAGATAAATCTGAAGGTCCAGGACTGAGATGCTGTGCATTTATATGCATAAACAGATTTCAAATTATCTTGTTGGCATGCATAAACAGATTTCAAATTAGCAGTGACTGCACCGGAGGAAGCAGATGCGTTTGTGTGGATTCCGTGGTC